CACAGTGGCTTGCCAAGGTAAATGTCGCTAGTGTAGATTGTGCCGATATTCACATACATGCGTAAATACATACATACATGCATACCTGCATACGTACATACGTACATATGTGCATGCACATATATTGTACATATCCAGACATGGTTGAGCAAAGGAGAATGGGAGAGACATGGACAAAGTACGGGCAAATGTCGCGCGCAGGCCACACCTGCCCATGACAGGTAGACATGTACTATACTGCTTGAACAGTCAATGCGATCAGTCTTGTGTCTCGCGAAGCATCAACCCACCCACACACACACACACACAAACACACACACACACACGCACACACAAACACACACACACACATGCAACTCTGCTTGCAGTGTGTGGAACGCCTAGTTGCCATTTGTCACTGCTCGATATGGTTTTTTAATCTGAAGAAGGCTTCGTGTGTTATGATTATGCTTCTCCTGTTCGGGTTCGTTGTGCAATAGCAGTTGTGGTTGTTGTTGTGGTCGTCGTTTTTGTTGGCGTTGGTGTTGGTGTTTCAGGTAGTCGTAGTAGCAGTAGTAGTAGCAGTAGTAGTTGTTGTTGTAGCAGCACTGGCAGAAGCAGCAAAGCCAGAGAGCCAATTCTGCCGTCCCCTGTTCTAGACCGTTCGAGAGTTGCGCCCTGGAAGACGACTGAGGAGAAGCCGAAAAGGCGCAGGTGCTTGTGCCGCTGCTGCTGTGGATGGAGTATACCTATGTGATTCTATTTCCGGTCATTGCTCTTACATCTGTCTACTTCGTCGATCACAGCATCTTGCCTCTTTGGTTGTATGCATTTTGGAGTTGGAGGATTGACACATAGCTATTTTGTCAAAGCTTGAGCATGACTGATTTGCTTGGTAACGTGTCAGAAGCAAGGTATGAAAGTCTGGCAGGCATTGCTGTGCTTTAGCCTGCTATTCTTCCTCTGGCAGCGCTATGTCATGCTGTGGCTGTACCTGCGGCTCCAACTAGCGAGGATTACACACCTTGCTGTAGTATGATTATCTTTTCTTTCGTGCCTGGGTGTAGCAGCTGAACATGGTGGTTGTAGACCCCGAGGGGCTGGGTCAGGTATGGAAAGTCCCAATTCGATTCAGACGGCACCTACTTCTCGTTCATCGTTGTGTGGGGCTTCGTGTTGTCCCAGTGCGCTGCCTCCTTTGCGGTGTGGGCCTATCGGTTAGAAGAGATCACGGAATGGCCCTTTGCCATCCTGATCTTCGTTCTGATCTTCTTCCTAACTTTCTTCATCTACTTGGCCGGGGTCCTCTACATCGAGCCGCCGCCTCAGTTTTCCAGATTCGAAGATGATGCAGCAAGATGTCTCTTGCACATCGGGGTGGCCAAACTTGCACTTGGCCTCGGAACTGCCAGTTCTCTGGGCACCTTTGTCCTGTCCCGAATCTCCTAAGCTCGAAGCCTGAACCGATGAGGTGGTCCTTCAGCAAGGCAGGAAAGGCGCTGGATAGTATGGACGGCACAGATCCTGGCTACGGCAAGATCATGGAGGACACTGGCATATCCTGGTGGAACGTGAATCCAGTCTATGCCACTCCGACGCATGCAATCGAATTGCAAGACCCTAGGGCAAGAAGCCCCAAACAGCCCAAGGCACACGCGTGAAGTTACTAGAAGGATTCCTCCTTGGTTCAGCGTGCATTGCAAAGAAAGGGGATGCTAGACTCCGGTGCAGTTGAAGGTGCCCGTACGATTCTATCCTATTGCAAGGGAGAGCACTACACCAACCGACTAGATTCCCGCATGATCTAGCACCCCAACCTGGACAGATAGGGCTTTGCGTGTAGCGTGCCAGGTGCTCAAACATCGTCTTTGTCCGCAAGAGCGCGGCTACGAAGTGCACGATGAGACAGTGCCTGGGCCAGGGAACCTGCTACTTCGGACAGGATGAGAGCAACACAACAGCTTTGGCAGGAACACGAAGTAACGACGGTATGGTGATGACGATGATGCATATGGAAGCATGATACTGTGTTATCGAATCTTCGAGGGTAATTCTCACGGTTGGGGAGTGGTCATAGTTGTTTAGATTTTACGAATGACATTTCTGGAGTTCCGTTCAGATCGAAGACCTCTGTGTTGTTGCACAACGTACATAGACATGAGATGCTCCTATGAACGGACGATAAGAGCAAGAGTTCAAAGGAATCCCTCGACCTCACATCGATTTAGGTGGCCTGCTGGCCGAGCTGGTCGAATCAAGGCTTCTTCGAAAAGGGCAAGGACGGGAGTGCTTCAGCCGAGGTTCAAAGCTTCTTGCGCTTCAGGTCCAAGGCTCAAGGAAAAGACCGTTTAGTAGTAGTAGGGGGTTGTCGTGTAACGGTCTAGCATTTGGGAAGAGTTGCAGGGACCACAGAATCATAGAAGTAGATGTGCGGCACAAGCACGTTGAGCATCGCCGCTGTATATGCACACGACTCTACCTCCGATTGTTCACGAACCTCCAAATAGACATGACTGCATCGTGCACTCAGTGGTTTGTGTTTCTTGCGCCTGTTGCCCAGGAGGCAAGGCATCGAAAGCGGGACAGTTGGAGAGATCAGGCCGCACGTGACGAGCCAGCAGCCGTGGCTGTGGTAGAGGCCACGAAAGGAGCAAGCATCAACGGAGCAGGAGGAGCGAACGGCGAACAGAGCACGCAGAGCTCTCCGCCGGATCGGCTCATAACCAGCGCAGCACGCACGATTCCTGTGGGCTTGCCGATGGCCGCACCGGCACTGTCAGGAGGCCTGCGACCCATGAACCAGCTCTACACCGCTCCGTACCCTTATGTCGTTAATGCAAGGGGCGAGAGGGTCCGAGTGGATGGCCAGAGATACCCAACCGCTACGACCGCCACAAGTGCTCTTGCTGCCCGTGCCTCCCCAGCTGCTTCACCCACCACAAACTCCGGAAGAACGTTACCTGGGCTGACTGCCGGGTCTACTGTGCTGTCACCGGCTCCGGCCTACCCTGTGCAAGCCCAAGCATCTCCTCCACGACGGGCCTGAGGGCCCGGCAGCGCACCGACTGGTCGGAAGGCTCTCGACAACCTACTGCACGCATGTCCAGTGGTAGAGACACCAGACATAATTTCTTTGCCGCAAGGCTCTGAGAGGTTCTGGATTCTGGACATCTGAAGCAAGCTGCGAAGTGCCCTCCAGACTGCTCATTCCCTGAAGGTGCACGGTGCCCCCGAAGCAGAAGATTCATCGATTCAAAAATTTTATAAAGATCGCCCGGATGAGGGGTGCGCCTTCTTTTCTCATGCATGGAAAAGCTATGCCGAAGCTTGACCTCTTGCATCGGTTATGGCCAAAGACTGCTGTGTGGAGCGTCGGGGCGCAAAACATGTCTAGCTACCGCATGGATCGGAAGCTTGCTCCGTTGATGCAGGAGGTATGCGGCCTTCGCGCAAACCTTGTTTGAAGCAACAATTCCTGACTGAAAGGTGCCCACAAGCTGGTGGCTGCGCCCGGATTTATCGCCGCCCGCTGCCTCAAGCCTTGCAGATCTCTGGCCTTTGCCCAGGACCACGAGAGGAGTACAACAGAAGACAAGATACTGTTGCGTTTGGTGATGAAGACGACGAGGATGCGCAACAGAATTGAGGCGACAGTTGTGATATGTCGTGATAGTAGCGGTGATTGTGGTGGTGTGATGTGGTTGGTGTTAGTGATAACGAGGATGATAGTCATTATGATAATGATGATGATGAGAATGATGATGAGATGATTGATGTTGATGATGTTGATGATGATGATGATGGTGATGGTGATTATGCTTATGGCGATGGCTGGCGATGATCACGATTGGGCGGACAACGACGACAATGACGATGGCCATGATGATCGCGGCATTGATGGTGTGGGTATGGCGGCCACGAAAAGTGTTATTACTAATACGATATTGATGATGCATGTCATCATTATTCCTCTTCATCACCATCATGATCATCATAATCGCGACGATGGTGCTGGCTTTGACGATGCTGATGACGAGGGTATGATTTCACACGTTTTCAATGCCAACATATGGTGATATCATGGAAACCGGATGAAAATCGTTCAGGTGATGGAGACTGTTGATAAGAGCTGCATCATCCTTGCTGGGATAGCGATTTTGGCTGCTACTGTACTGCATGCTCTTTGTTGTGATGCTAAAACGGCTCCTGCTGCTTCTGCTGATGCTGCAGCCAACTGTTGTCGTTGCAGTCATGTTCTTCCTGCCGGGAGGATCTTGCAGATGAGGGAGGCCAGGGAACCGATGTGTTTGCACTGGCACCGTTGGGTCTGTGAGCCATCCAGGAAGCTCGTGTTTCAGGCTTGAGAGGGCTGAGGGGGATCAAGATCTCGGAATGGCAGTGTCAATCAAGGCTCAAGTGCGGCGTGCCCGCGAGAGGTTACCGTGCTGTAGTGCTGATGGCGCGGATGATTCTTCATGTAATCATTTCCGGAGCTGGTCTTGCATGTGCTTTGGGCCTTGCGGCAAGTCAAAGTACCTGCGTGAACACTCATGGTCTGCCATATGGTGAGGATAATTGCAAGCTGTATGGCAAAGCGAGAGGTTGCATGTGGCAGCACGGCCAATGTGTATGAAGAGACTTCCGGTGCTATTCCAGGACAGGGCGCCGATGCGTGAAATCATCAAACCCACCGACAACCCAAAGTACCACAACATCGGCACGGGCAGTGGTCTTGCAAGACTCGACTATGTGTGTCTACCCGCAGCCTGCCATATGACGAGGCGAAGTTCCAGTGCGTCTGTCAAAGTCAAGGTTGCTACTCCCGGACCGGGCGCCGATGTGTGCATCAAGACACGGTGACAACTCAAACTACAAGGACTGCCACAACACCGGCACCAGTGGTGTTCTCGTAGGACTCGAACGGCAGTGTATGTGTGTCAAATCACGGCATACCATACGACGAAGCACATTGCGAGTGGTATGGTAGCGACCGGGGATGCATTTGGCAGAATAACCAGTGCATGCGTCAAAATGGAGGCTACTACTCCAAGACCGGTCGCAAGTGTTGGCCACCAGCTCTGTCACCGCAGCCACCTACACAAGGACCAGCACCTTCGCCACCACCCCCCGTGAATCCGAAGGCAGACGGCGGCATCCTGGATTTCATGATCTCGTGGTTTCCTGGACCCCATTGCTTGATCGGTGCAATTGAAGGTTTGCTTGGAATGAGCTCCTGCGCCTGCATTTTCCCATGCACTGGACGGCAAGCCCGGCGCCTTGTGTGTCAACAGCGCATGAATGCACTGCAGCCGCCGCCAACACACCAGGCCATGCTCTTGGACGAGGGCCACATCGAAGTGGTTCCACAACATCATGAAGAGCACACTCAAGCAGCTGAAGCGGTCTGAAAGAAACTCGTTTAGCTGTCGTGCTGAATTGAAACTTCCGTCGATGCACATGTCGATCACAAGCTATCGCAGGTCCATCGGCGACAGATCCCGGAGTGCGCCGGTCTTCGTTCGCGAAAAAGCTGTTGCAACTGACCCGGATGCACACCTCCTGTGCCAGTGCCACTCGCATCTGCTTCTGCTGTCAAGGAATTTGCACATCGGCTTTGGCCGGGTCTTCCCTTCATGCGAAGCTTCGTCGAGCGGAGAAAGATAGTAGTCACAAGGCGCCTGCAGGACGTGTCAGGGGAAGTTTAAACCGGGGCACCCAATGTTTGAAAAGCGACAAACCTCACCCAACTTAATATGTTCGAGGCAAACCGTCCCAGATAAGGAGTGTAGAAAACGAAACAGTCATCTCCAAATCATATTCTATGTTTCATTTTTTTCTGACACTTATCGATAAAGATTAACTTGTAAAATTTCAATTAAAGCTTGAAAAATACATAAAAATTGATTTAGTCTTCCAAATTTTCATTTTAAAAATAGAGAAAATTAATGAGCTTCTCTAGATTTTCTTGTAATAGGTATTTTGATTTCTCTTTTCGAATATAATCGTAATTCTTTATCATATTTTATAATTGGATATAATTTATTTTCTTTCATATAAAAATTCTCTTACGTTTTTTGAGAAAAAACGAATTTGTTGGGTTATAAATGTGTTTTTCTTGGAATTGGATGTTTGTGGATTTGGGTCTATGCGGTTCTGGCTTCGAGATGAAGAATAAAAGTTTATTTCTATATATAATCGTTAAATATTGGATTTGTTATCTATATTATTTCTAAGGTATTTATTTGTCTTCAATATTTAATTCTAGATATATATTATTTAGAATTTTTAGTTATTTAGAATTTACGAGAATTGGATTTTTTATTCGATAATTTTTTAAGATGTGGTTTTGCTTTTACGATAAAATTTAGGATTTAATGTATCGTTGAATTTATATATATAAATAATAATGAATATATTTTTATTTTAAATAATTTGAATGAATATTGGCCACGAGATAATTAATTATTTATGAGATTTAAAAAATAAAATTGGATGAATTTTGATTTCGATTGTTTTTTCTTTGTGAATATATTAGTGATTTGTTATATATTTCGATATTTGTATTAGATTCTTGAAATTTTGTTTAAAAAAATGATTTTTCTGGTATTTAAATTAGAAAAAATTAGAGTACTTTTTACGAGGTTTTCTAATTTCTGTCTAATATTGAATATTTACTTAATATTTCGAACTTTGCCTTCTTAGATCTATGAGTATTAGGCTATTAAGATTATCTTATTAGATCTATCGCGCTCTATTTTTTTCATTTGATCTTATTAGACCTAATCTAATAATTCTATCTTCTTATATCTATTCTTATAGATTTAGATTTATCTTATTAGACCTATTTCCCTTAGGCTTATCTAATTTAGAGCATCTTTTCTTCTGAGAAGATTTATTAGGATTTATCTTTGTATTAGACCTGATCATATCGAGAAGGAAATTATTATGGATTTATTGTGATTGCTCTGATTCCAATTTCGTCGTTGGTCTGGAGCGTGTTTAGTAGTAAGAGTAATAGAAGTATTGAGATTAGTATTTATATTAGTATTAGTAATAGTAGTAGTAGTAATATTGTAGTAATAATAGTAGTAACAATAGTTGTAATAAGTAATATTCTAATAATAGAAGTAATAACAAAATATTAGTACTAGTAATTATAATAATATGAGATTTCATTATGATATATAAGATAAAAATTATTAATATATTTTATTTATTGATATAAATATATTACTTAATAGAATTAAGAATATTAATAAAGATAAGATTCAAGGAAAAAATAATAAGGAAAAGCAGATAAGAATCGAGAAAGAAGAAATTAAAGAAGAGAAGTTAGATAAAAGATAAGAATTAAGAAATTAAAGATAAAAGATAAAAAAGCTAAGAATTACGAAATAAGAGATAAGGAATATAAAGACTAAGAATTAAGAAAGAAATGATAAAAGAGATAAGAATTGAAAAATAAAAACTAAGAGATATGAGAAATTGGAATTAAATAAGGAGAGGCAAAAGATGAAAATTAAGAAAAGATAGGGAAAGAGATATGAATTAAAAAGAAGAAATCAGAGATATGAAATAAAAGAGAAGAGATAAGAGATTAGATAAGAATTAGGAAAGAAGAGCCAAGATATTAAAATATGAAAGAATAGCTAAAGGATAAGAATTAAAGAAGAAATAATGAAAGATAAGAATTCAGAAAGAAATACTAAGAAATAAGAATTAGGAAAGAAATGGCAAGAGATAAGAATTGAAGAAGAAATGCTCAGAAATAAGAATTAAGAAAGAATAGGTAGGAGATAAGAAGTTTTAGAAAAAATAGACAAAGACGAATAATTAAATAAGAATAGATATGAGATAAGAATTAAATAAGAATTAAAAGGCAAAATAATCAAGAAAAATAGACAATAGAATTAAAGAAGAATAAGACTTGAACAAGAATAGACAAGATATAAGAATTAAGCAAATAAGCTAGGGATAATAATTAAGAAAGAAGAGATAAAAGATAATCATTCAAAAAGAATAAAGAAGAGATATTAATTATATAAGAATAGACAAGAGATAATAATTAAACAAGAATAGGCAAAAGATAATAATTAAGCAAGAATAGATAAAAGATAATAATTAAGCAAGAATCGTAAATAAATTTAGTGAATCCAACGCGCGAAGACGAACGCGTCAAATATATTCCGAACGCGTCCGCTAAACGTACGAGGTCTAAACATACGAGGTCTAGATTCCCCCCATACATACATATATATATTAGTTGCAAGACGCCGTTTTTGGCATTTTAAAATATGAATATTTCAAATGATTGTCTTGCAATTTATTTCTATGGACGCCCCGCTCCCTGCCCTGATGGTTGTAACATACGTCCTTGACTTTTGAGACGCGAACGCTTCAAAATGACCGTCTTGTAATTTGTTTCTGCGTGTCCGCCGACGGGGCCAGTCGCCGCCCGCCCGCCCCCCTCCCCCCGCCGCAGCCGCCAAAGATGCTCATTTTCCGATGCAGCGAGGACCCAAAATAGCAAAATCGATCGTTTTTAATTATTTTTCAGTAGAAAACCGAGATTTTCGGCAGACCCACCACCAAAAACCATTATTTTGTATTCAAACCATAGAAAAAAAATCAAAGATGCTCATTTTCCGATACAGCGCGGACCCAAAACAGCAAATCGACCGTCTTTGAGTATTTTCAAAAAGAAAAACAAGATTTGTGGCAGACCCACCACCAAAAACCACTATTTTGTAATCAAATCAAAGAAAATACATCAAAGATGCTAATTTTGCGATGCAGCGAGGACCCAAAGTAGCAAGATCGACCGTCTTGGAGTATTTTTCCAATAGAAAACCGAAATTTCGGCAGACCCACCACCAAAAACCATTATTTTGTGTTCAAACCATGAGAAATAAATCAAAGATGCTCATTTTCCGATACAGCGCGGACCCAAAGCAGCAAATCGATCGTCTTTGAATATTTTTCCAATAGAAAACCGAGATTTGTGGCAGACCTCACCACCATCAAAAACCACTATTTTCTAATCAAATCATAGAAAATAAATCAAAGATGTTCATTTGCCGATGCAGCGAGGACCCAAAGCAGCAAAATCGACCGTCTTTAATTATTTTCCAATACAAAATCGAAATTTGCGGCAGACCCACCTTCAAAAACCATTATTTTGTGATTTTGTGCAAAATACATAGCAAATAAATCAAAGATGCTCATTTTCCGATATAGCGGGGATCCAAAGCAACAAATCGACCGTCTTTGAATATTTTCAAAAAGAAAACCGAGATTTGCGGCAGATCCACCACCAAAAACCATTAGTTTATATTCAAACCATAAGAAATAAATCAAAGATGCTCATGATATAACGAAGACCCAAAGCAGCAAAATCGACCGTCTTAGAATATTTTCCAGTAGAAAACCGAGATTTTCGGACAGACCCACCACCAAAAACCACTATTTTGTATTCAAGCCATAACAAATCAAAGCGACTATCTTAAACCCTAAATTCGACTAATCTCTCTTTTTTTCAATCAAATAAATAACTAAACTCCAGAGTCCCTACAAGTGCTGTCCCCCTAAACTTCCGGGGCGGGAGGAATTTAGAACACACTCCTACAGACGCGATGAATTTAGAACGTTAAACGCGTACGTACCCGTAAATACGAGTTCGGCGTCACTAAAGTAAAAAGAAAATAGATAAGAGATAAGAATTAAATCAGAATATTGAATATAAACTATATAAGAAATAATAATAAATTCAAAAATATGCCATAAATACAGGGACCCGGGGAAGTGGGTCCCGCTTTCGTTCCCCCCCTGAAGCTTAAATTCTGAAGCTTAAATTCGG